AATAAATAAATAAATAAATAAAATTCAATTTTGGAACAAGAGATTTGAGATGCTGGAGTAACAGACACAATCTTCATATAGGATTAATTCAAGTTCAAATCTCTGCCCATTTGAACAATTAAATTACACAAGATCCACACAAAGTATTTCTTAGTAACCTGGAGCAGCTGGGTACAGTGGTGCACATCTGTAATCCCAGAGCAGAGATCTTTAATCTGAGAGAGACAGGCAGGCAGGCAGGCAGGCAGGCAGGCAGGCAGAAAGGCAGGCAGGCAGGCAGGCAGGCAGAAAGGCAGGCAGGCAGGCAGGCAGGCAGGCAGAAAGGCAGGCAGAAAGACAGGCAGAAAGGCAGGCAGAAAGGCAGGCACAGGCAGGCAGGCACAGGCACAGAGATTGAGAGGGACCAACAAACACAGACAATGTACCCTGGAGCTTCAGATGTAGCTCAAGTGCTTGCCTAGGATGCAGGGGTAATCCAAAGACTACCAAATCAGTGCTCAAAGTTATACAAACATTACCAGTCATTCCTAAGGATACACTGTTCTTTACGTTCTAGTGACCAGGACGCGGTGACTATTAGGTGCTTTTCATAGCTTCCTTCTTTGTTCTTCACGAAGTCAACTGCTAACACCAGGTAACGATTATCAGGTCCTCGGCTCAGAATTGTTCTGGGAAAGGAAGCTTCCACTTTCTTCTGAAATCTTAAGCATGCGCATACAAAAGTATTTTAATACAACCATGAAATAAGGCATTTAATGTATTTATCTAAGAACCAACCTTCTGTTTTTCCATGTTGAAAGCTTATCAGGATAACTAAATTCAGTAAAACTGAGTAAAGGCAAAACGGGAAGAATGCCTGCTATAAAAACTTCTCAGAAGCAGTGTCACCTGGAACCGGGGTGATCAAGGGCGCCGAAGGTGCAGGTCAGCGCAAGAGTGTGTGGAAGAGCACCTGTGCGATTCACAGCACGTTCTACCATTTACAAGAGTATACTTCAAAATCACTTCATCCAAGATTTTATTGCAGGAATTCCTATAAAACTTTATTAGGAATTAACCAGCCTCCACTTCTTAGAGAAATGATACCTATCAGGGTAGATCATTCTTTCATTGGGTAAGGCGTAAGTGTCTTAGTTGTATTTATTACGTGCCAGCCAACCCCACAATACTTTAATCCAGTAGTGCAAATCTCCTGAAACCATGCAACTCTGAAAAACAGTTGTGCTAAATCTTTCTTGCAAGTCTTAAACACGCGAGGGACCAAAGGCGAGTTCAAAGTCACTCTCCAATTCCACCAGCAAACGCTTTTCTCTTTTGTAAATAAAAGAACATGGATCATGAAGAGCGCGGTAGCTGCTCGCACTGAACACATGTCCCTATCGTGATCCTGGTGCCTGCTTTTCCCTGGGATGAATTCCTTCAGCTCCAAAAGAAGAGCCTCGGGCACCTGTGTTTTCCTTCTGCGCGGTAATTTCGCGCGGCCGCGGCAGCCAGAACCGGGAAAGCGGCGGGGCTCGGGCGGGAGCCCTTCGGGCCTGAGGGCCGCTCCCGCGGTCCTTCAAATCTCCCGCCCGGCTCCGCCCACCCACCCCACCCCTCTTGGCTCACCGATCCGCCGGCGGCGCAGCCTCCTCCTCGAAACCCTCATCCATCAGCAGCTCCAGCGGGTCCACCTGTTCCATCCCGGGATCGGAGACGGAAAGCACTAGCTAGGTAGCGTCCAGCGAAACAGACAAGCCTGCAAAGCCCAGCCCTGAAAAAGAAGCGGGAGCGCGCGGGGCGCAGCGCGCATGCGCTCACCGGCCAGGTTCCCACGTGACCTGTAAGGACAGCCCCCTGAGCCCCACGTGGAGCCCCCACCTGTACTGCGCAGGTGCAGACGGGATGCCCCACCCCCTCCCTCACTCCGCACTGCAGCCCCGCCCAGTATACAATTTAACTCTACATAAAGCTGTTTGCTTACTCCTGAAATCAGGCGTATTTGATGGCTATAGGTTTTATTTATTTGTTTGTTTGTTTGTTTGTTTGTTTGTTTTTTATTATTATTTTTGTATTTAGTACAGGATCAGGGGCCGGGGAGATAGCTCACTGGATTAAGCGTTTGCCGGGTAAGTGCAGGGGCCTCAGTTCAATCCCCGGTTCCGCCAAAAAAAAAATAGAAGTAGAGGGTCTCACTACACACATAGTGGTATAGGAACATGAGATTCCCAACCTGGCCTGGATGAGCTCGTGTTTTCTAAAACCAAAGAATGAATTTTAGGAACAAACGGAGGTCGAGGGTAAAACTTAATTGGAAAGGAAAGCTTTTGTCTGAGGGACAGAAGGGGGCCCCCACGGGGTGCCAGGGAAGCCGTCTCTTTCTGGTTAATGTTATAGGGCAAAACCATGCGGGGCTAAGGTAGAGACAAAGGGGCATTGCTTAGGTGGATACAAGGTGGGACAAAACTATGGTGAACCAACAGGATTACAAACACCGTTGCTCAGGTAAAATTTATTAGGCCTAGGACCAAATGGGGTAGTGAGTCACGTAGCAAGCGGGCATGAATGTAAAATGGGACCTTATCTGGTGGCCTTTAGACAATGATTCTTCCCGACTAATGAGCAATCCTGGAGGCCAACTTTAGGGAGGTCAGCATTTGTTTGATCTTTAGGTCTGGCTCACACCAGGGGCATCTCCGCAGTAAGGTGTCTGGTCTTTGCCATCTCCTTCGAGGGCCTGACTGTGTCTAATTACCTGCAATATTTTTATCTAACTCAGGCTGCCTGCAACAATAGGACTCATAGTGATCCTCCTGTTTTCAGCCTCGAAAGCGCTGGGATTACAGTGCGTGCCACCACGCCCAGTCTCACTTGTTTTCCAGAGTAAGCCAAGTGTAGGGCCAACATGGCATGTGGTGCCAGGGGTCGAACCCCAGTCTGCTGAGTTGGCTGGCCGGCCCCTGGTCCTGGTTTTTAAAGAAGAGACTAGGGGCCACGGTGGTGCACCCCTGTAACCTCAGCACTTGGGGGTGGGGGTTACAGGGGCCTGAAGCAGGAGGAGCCCTAGGAGCTCCAGGCTTGTTTGGGCTACACTGTCAGAGTGCTCCTGAACTACATAGCCAGACTCTGTCTCAAAATGAAAAAACATTAACAAAACAAAAGAGACTCTATCGGGAATTTCTCTTTATGCCTCGACTAAATCTACAAAGCTACCAATATCAGCTCATTTTATAACCTCTTTCCACCTTTGTACCTCATGCTGGGATTATGGTTGTGCACCGCCACGTCCACCATTTTTTATTTTTATTTTTTTTCCACCATTTTTTAAACAGCAAAGTATTCTTGCTGCTGCTGAGCAATCTCTCCACCTGCAAATAGGATTCCAGAGGCATCTGGCATTTTTAAGGGAGGGTGCTTCCTTCCTTCCTGTCAGTCTTTTTAGTCAAAGTCACCAGGCGAGTCCTGTCTTGAAAAGATGTCACCTGGGCAGGACGCAGCCCATCCATCCTCGCTCCCGTGGTACACTTGCGGTAACGGGATCAAACTGGAGACCTGCATTTATGCCACTGAGCTACATCCCTGCCCCAGCAGCACACTTCTTGCAGGAGACTGGGGACCACATCTTCCCTCCCCATTTCTGCAATTTATCCCTTTCTCTCTTTTTTTTTTTTTTTTTTTTTTTATTTGGTGGAACCAGGGATTGAACTCAGCCCTCGAGCTTGCCAGGCAAGCACTTACTCTACTGAGCTAACTCCCCAGCCCTTTCTCACTTCATTTGTGAGGACAAATTTCAGGTGAAGAGAATCTTAGAACTTTTTTTTTTTTTTTCCAGAACTGGGGTTTGAACTCAGGCCCTTGCGCTTGCCAGGGAAGCACTTATTCCACTGAACCATCTCCCCTGCCCCAAGAACTATTAAACACCCATTTGCCAGTCACCCAGAATTTATAGTTAACATTTGCTGCCTTTAATTTGTCACACATGCACTTACCCACTTCTCTGTCCATTTGGAAATTCAAGTTTCTCTTGATGCATTTTAGAAGCACAAGCATATTTCATCCCTCAATACTTTCATGTGAACATTAACTACAATTCATTTGTTACGGTCCTCTCCAACTTTTTGATGTGACTCTTCAAATGTATATAAAATACATATTTTTCGTGCACTATTTGATGAATTTTAACAAATGCATGTGAGTAAACCAAACCTCTATAAAGAAAGGTTCTCAGGGCTGGCAAGATAGCTCAGCAAACATGCCATGGCAGCCCCGCCCCCGGGTGCACTGAGCCAGCCACCGAGTCTGGGAGTGGTGGCACATGCCTGCAATTCTAGTACTGGGGAGGCTGAAAACAGGAGGATCACTGCAAGTGCAAGAACTGTGTAGTGAGACTCTGTACCAAATACAAAAATTGAAAAAAAGTTTCTCAGCAGGGCATGGTAAAGCCTGTAATCCTACTACTCTGGTAGGCTAAGGCAGGAAGATGTCAAGCTGTCTCAAGAAATAACTGTGTGTGGTGGTGCACACAGGTAATGCCAGCACTTGGGAAACTGAGGCAGGAACATCACTGCAAATTCAAGGCCAGCCCAGGCTACATGGTGAATTTCAAGGCTAGTCTGAGTTACATGAGGCCCTGCCTCAAATAAATAAATATATAAATGAATGGGGCTGGGCATGTTATCAGCCCAGAAAATTCTCTCATGTCCCTGCCAGGGTAGCTCCTACCCCCAAGCCAAGGATATAGTTCATAGTATTTTGTGTCAGGAGTCTTGCATCCAGTGTAATGTTTTTGAGGTTTATCCATTTTATTACACAACCTGGAAGTTTGTTCCTTTTTTTTTCCCCCATGTATTTGTCATAGGGTCTCACTATGCAGCTCAGACTAGTAGTGATCCTCCTGTTTTCCGCCTCCCCAGTGCTGGCATTAAGGTGTGCACCACCATGCAACACCATCCTGTGTGTATCAGCTTAGAGTACACACAGCATACTCGGGAAATGTAGGTCAACAAGGCATTTACCACAAAGTGTGCATCAGGGGCTGGAGAGATGGCTCAGTAGAATAAGTGCTTCCCTGGCAAGTGCAAGGGTCTGAGTTCAATCCCCAGTTCCGCAAAAAAAAAAAAAAAAAAAAGTGCATCAAAGAAATACCTGGTGTTACATGCTCCTGGGGACCCAAATCAGACAACACATGCAGTTAATGGGCCAAGTTGCCCATAATTCCAATGTAATTACTGGTGTACAATATGCCAAATAGAGTTTATACCTTAGAGAGGGAGCAAGATTTTTTTTCAGTACTGGATATTGATTGAACCCAGGACTTTACAATGAGCTACATCTCCAATCCTATTTTTATTTTTTTGAGATCTGGTCATGCTGTATCGCTAATGGGCCTGAATTTGGGATCTTCTGACTCTGACTTCCAGAATGCTGAGATTACAGGCCTATGTCATCAGATCTGCCTTTTTATATATGGTGCTAGGGAGACAACTCGGTGGTCTAAGGTCCCAAGTTCAATCCGTATTGCATGCCATGCTGGCCCCAGAACCCTGGGCTCACTGTGCTGGCACCAAAACCAGGCATGGTGGTGCAAGCCTATAATCCCAGCACTGGG